TGCTATTTCGTCCTAAACCTAAACCGACGTCCTGAACCGCAAGTTTTCCGTAGTACTTTTCCACGTAAGAACCGAAGTCTTTAGTGTTCGGTTGGGGCTGCGGGAGTACTGTAGCTCGTGACTCTGGGGAAGAAATTTGTTGGGGAAAAGCGTAGTCGCTAATGTAAAATGTTGCGAGAGAAGCCGTATCCGTAGTCGGGGAGAGATTCTTTTTATTCTTGGAAGAGTTATTGTGTGCCTCATATAAATGCTTCATGTGTAGCAGATGATTCATTTATCCGTAGCGCATCGCTCGCTTTCTACTGACTGTTCGTAGGCAGTCCACCCGTTCTGGCCGATCATATGCAGTCTACTCATTCTGGCTGATCGTAGGCAGTTGTGAACCATCATTCCGGCTCCATTCTCAATCCGCGACGTGACGATTTCGATTGCTGTGAGGCCGTAATGAAATTCTTTTTGACGACTGTATAACTACAGTTCTGTTATTACTGAGTTCGAAGTGGGTAATTTTAGATTGTACCTGATTGAGAGATTCAATCATCCGATTAATAAAGTATAGCTTAACCGCGTGGCAGCTTCAGTATATACTGGTGTTATTCTATCCGAATTACTTCGCTTCGAAAAAAGTGTCTGGCCAAATGAAGGGGAGAATGGTCTTAACCATCAAATAACAATAATAAGATCTGAAGGTGCCAAGGCATGGGTAAGTGGCAAAGGAGGACAGACTTTAAACGGAACTGCGACTGCGTACCACCGACCATTGGAGGGCATCTTAGCGGGAGATTTTTCAATAAGATACGTCATGTTATCGTGAGTGAAAGTAAAGAATTCTTTCAGAAAATTCCCAGGTTTTCAGTTCAAATCAAAGTGTAGAAAAGTGCAGCGAATTCGGCGGATTGACCGCAATGGTCCTAATAGAAACCTAAAAGTCCTAATAGAAACCCTGGCGGGAGAAGGGATTGCCTTTTAAGATAATCAGTTACTAAGTACTGATCTTGCTGATTTCAATGGTTTTTTACAACTTCTCAATGACTTTGAAGAAAATTGTGACCATTTCAATGATGAAAACTCACGTTTCAGCAAATTGGCTTAAAGTAGCTATAAAGGGGAAAGACGGAACAGCGGGATGATCTTTCGAACGAGTGATATCTCACAATTGTCGGAAGATTATCAGGAGAACTTAAATATTTCTTCGAAAGCGTCAGTGTCCTAGTTTGTGATCAGTCTTACAAGGGGGTCGCAGGGCAAGCTGCACTTTTTCGAAACAGTTTTTTGCTTGTGGTAAGAACCCATGTGTGGACTGCAAAACCAGGGTCCATTTTCGCTGAACAGCCGCTACGTGAAGGAAAAATCATAAGCAATGAATCCTAACAACGAATGGAGCAAAAAAAACGACGATTTATTTATGGGGAGAGCATACTATGACAGCACCTCTTTGAACGTCATTTCCTCTGGAAGTTTTACCAAGTCCTAGTACTACACAGAGTATGCTTCTCAATCTACACGTCCACCTTTCGATTGAGAGAATTCTTGTAACCGTTTTAGCCAGCTGTGTGGTGATCGGTCTTGAACGTGATCGAGCAGCTTATCTACTATTGAAATTTTCACACATATTCGAATGACTATAATTTCATCCAAGTGGACCAGTTTTCAATCTGAAAGCAGATTTGGGAATTTTCTGAAAAAATTGATGCGAAATGTCAGTCAGTCAAAACGAGGCGAGCATGTGCAGTGAGGATCATGAAGTTGGCAAAAAAGAACGAAAAAATGAAAAGGAATAGAAGAAGGGGAAGAAAATCCTGCAGAAAGAAGCCGTTTGCGGTGGAACTTTTCGGTTGCACTGACAGTTGGCGTGAAGCCACGAACTGACTAAACTGGTCCGAGCACGCACGCCCACCACGCTAACTTTTTCAAGGGCCGGTGGAGAAAACTATATTTACGACCGTCCAAGCAGTTTGTTTCATTTCCGCGTTTGAATAGGATCACCCCCTCTTCCCACTATACTGATTAGTTTTGCCATTGAGAAGGTCCTACCTAACGGAGTATAAGTAAATCGACCATGGAGAGTGTGAGTCTTGCTAGATACATAAAAGCCCGAACACTGGGCCGGGGAACACAAAATCCTCGAGAGGATATAAGCTCAAAGTGGAAATCGTGTGGAGGGCCACGTCGGTGCGAGATTAGGTGTTTCCTAAATAACGAATTGTAGTTGCGCTGGGATACAGTAAGGTAGGAATTGTGGCTTAGTAGCTTTTATCAGAGGTGAGTAGGAGTCTGAAGAGTTAAACTAGTCGCTCCTCAGGGCTGAAATGACCAATCCAGCATACAAGGCGGCCAGTTACGTGCCACTAACGCCATCCATCGGAATAAACATTATAATTCCGTCGTTCAACGGAACACATCGTGCATCTGCGTTATTGTTGCCGTATTGCAAAGACTAGGACATGAATTAGGCTACTCTAGTCTTGCTGGTTACCACATATACATTGCTCCCGACTTTTTGCAACAAACAGCCTGGCTTGGGCCCAAGTAAATTTGATCGTATTACGATTGTACGCTTAATATATATATACTATTTTCGTGATGGGACCGGATGCTTACCATCGCGTACACTTATTTCTAAGGTTTCCTGTTTACAAGGAAACACTCGATTTTTATTTGTAATTTCATTTATTTTCTGCAGTTTTACTTCTCACATGCGAAGCACTTATGAGACGATTTTGTATTCCAAGATGATCTGGTGTTGGCCGGCTCTGTTGAATGTGATGATTGGCACACGGTTGGACGCCGAAACAAGTACTGTGTTACGATCATTCGCTGAGCAGAATCTGCAAAGGCGGAGTTGTGATTTGAACGTATGGCATGATCTCGAACCTAAGGGCTAACACACCGGTAACCGGTTCGAGTTTGGTCCTCACTGGATTTGATTTCGACGCCCCCGAATTTACAGCCGTCGAAAGCGTAGCCATGTGAGATGGAGTTGATTTTAATTTCAATCTTCTTTCCTTCAGGAGCCTGGAAAGCTTGGAATTCGATTCAGCAAAAGATGACAAACACAGGTATCTTCGCCCACTTCGACCCAGTAATTGCAGAACATATACTGTTCCCTTTCATTAGAAGGGAAGCCGAGTTTGTCTATGATGAATTGCTTGCTTTCCTTGGCTTTCAATACACTTCCGCATCCAGTCGGCTAGAAAAATTCCTTTGGCGTTGAACTTTGTAACTAGAATGCATTCAACTAACTCGCTGGTCGCAAAGAGCGCCGCCATAACCACTTGGGCAAATACATTCCGAGCACTTTCGTGGATGGGGGAATCCACCATTCTGGCACTTGGCGGAGGTCGCTTTGGGACATTTCGCTAAACAGCAAGCTCTATCACCTTCTCTAAAAAGCATACACATTATTTTGCTCACCTTTGCAGTTGTAATGATCGTTGATCATAGACTTATCAATAAATGAAAGGATTTGCGAACCCATGGTCTCTTGGTATCTTGTGTCGTTGGCTACCATTGTAGGTTTCTTGTTTTTAGAAGCGCTGTAATATCCTAGTGTGTTAGCTTTCAGACTGAACTCATGAGATGTTGTACTTCGCTCTTACCTGGATCCTTCATAATGCATAATACTGCCATAATCGTAGGTGAATCCGTAGTTAGTTGCTTGGTCAGGTTCAAACTTGACGAATTGATCCACAAACTCGTCCTGGAAGGCTGAGAGTTTTCTCCGTTGCCCTTCGAGGTGGGGAAGGGATGGACCTACCTTAACGTTATCAAACACAATTGTAATGAAATCATCTCGGTCGTAGCGCGACATGGTATGGAAAAGTCCAAGGGCGTGGCCAATTTCGTGTGTAGCGATTCCGATCTGAAGCGATTTCACGATCCAAGAAGCACGATTATGAATTGAAGGTACTTGAGGGGCGCTGGTGGGTGTGAAGTGAATAATCTTAACAAAGTCGTACCTCTTCGCAGCCTTTGCCGAGCGAAAGGGGTTGCTCACCACCGTGACGACCATCCGACGAACGCAAACATCCGTTTCTTTTTGATAAGTATGAGACTGTTTTCGGCTAAAATGTAAATGATTGTCATCTTATTGGCAACCGTTGCTTGCCATATTTCAACTTTCCGTCATTATCTCTTTGAAGTCGACGCATGTTGCTTCTTCCATTGTTTAGCTCCATCTCGAACATTTTCGCTAGTGAGATAGTCTGAAATTTTCAATTTTTTCAGAGCTATGGATCTTCAGAGGATCGGCGGAGGCTTCCAAACCAGGCAGTCTGAACACACCTGTTGCTGTTGTCAAAGCGGTAGAAGACCCTTGCTGCCATGTAGTTTTTGGGTAATTTTCATCCTTGAACGCTTGTCTCTTAGCAGTCCTGCCCTCGGAGCCTTCATGATTTCTTCAAGTTGCTCTGGAAGTTTGTTTTCCACAACAGCATGTATGCTGAAACAAACGAGCACCACTTTGTTCAGCAGAATGTCACTCTGGAAGAGGACTTTGCCAACATTCTTAGCAGCGTTGATTTCGAATTGGTGTCCTTCAAGTTTTCAACGTGTTGTCCTCTTAGCTGCGATTTCCTTGAATAATATTTTTTAAATGATTGCCATATGCAGCAACTGGTCTCAGTTCGTAAAGGGTCACAACCTTGAGCTTCCTGTCAATTTTCAGCTTCTTAGCTTGGAGAGTTCAGTTTTCTCATCACTTTGCTTCTCATCTCTGCCAGCTTTAGTGCCAAGTGAAAAGATGCCAGTTTCTCGAAAGAATGCAAAGGCCCACGTCTATTTCATGTGTGCTTCTTCAGAAGGTTTTCAATTGCGCTCACCTTTTGAACTTGGAGAGTGTGCCGTTTTGATTTTTTTCACCAAAATTTCCTCCTTTGAAGAAATCTTTGATTTTGCTATGTGCTAGCAGACCTGCTTGAGTAGACACAGCTAGGACGATAGAGCAAAATGAGCCTCATCCTGAACAGTCAGCTAAGGATTATGACTCTGAGAAAAGACTCATGACAGGTGAGGAGAGGAGAAGTTCTGCTGAAAGAAACCATATCCATTGATGGACGAGCTGCTACCCTCAATTTTTATACACTAGCAACAAGCACGACGAGTTTATCACTGCTCTTACGAAATCCCTGTTCAAAAAGAGGTACTGCATTCTGTGTTATGGCAAGTGCTTTTCAGGTGGCCTGCAGAAGGTGTACTAACTGCCCACGATGTTCAACAGTATCGTAAGGATTACAGGTGGCGTGGTTATAGCAGGGGATTGCGTAAGAGCAGTTGATATAAATGTCGGATGCTTGGTTGTTAGTGTATAAAATTGAGGGTATGGAGCTTCGTCATCAATGGATATGAGGTTTTTGAGCCAGAACTTCTCTTCCCTCAATGTCATGAGTCTTTTCGGCATGGTTTAATCTCTGAGCTGGCTGTTCAGATATGAGGCTCGATTTTTTGGCTTTAGCTAGTCTAGCTGTGTCTACTCAAGCAGGTCTGCTAGACATAGGCAAAATAAAAGATTTCTTCAAAGGAGGAAATTTGGGTGAAAAAATCAAAACTGCCACACTCTCCAAGTTCAAAAAGGTGAGCGCAATTGAAGACCTTCTGAAGCGCACACATGAAGTAGACGTGGGCCTTTCAGCTCTTCGAGAAGACTGGCATCTTTTCACTTGGCACTAAGCTGGCAGAGATGAGAAGCAAAGTGATGAAGAAACTGGAACTCTCCAAGGCTAAGAAGGCTGAAATTGACAGGAAGCTCAAGGTTGTTGACCCTCACGCAACTGAGACAGTTGCTGCATATGGCAATCATTTATACAAATATTATTCAAGGAAATCGCAGCTAGAGTGGACAACACCGTTGAAAACTTGAAGGACACCATATTCGAAATCAACGCTGCTAAGAATGTTGGCAAAGCCCTCTTCCAGAGTGACATTCTGCTGACAAAGTGGGTGGCTCGTTTTGTTTCAGCATACATGATGTTTTGTGGAACAATAGCTTCCAGGAGGCAACTTGAAGAATTCATGGAAGGTCTCGAGGGAGGACGAGCTAAGAGACAAGCGTTTAAGGATGAAAATTACCCAAAAACTACTTGGCAGCAAGGAGTCTTCTACCGCTTCGACAACAGCACAGGTGTGTTTCAGACGTGCCTGGTTTTGGAAGCTCCGCTGATCCTCTGAAAGATCCATAGCCTCTGAAAAAATTGAATTTCAGACTATCTCACTAGGAGAATGTTCGAGATGGGAGCTAAACAATGGGAAGAAGCAACATGCGTCGACTTCAAAGAAGATAAGGACGGAGAAGGTTGAAATATTGAGCAAGCAACGGTTGCCAATAAGATGACAATCATTTACGATTTTAGCCGAAAACAGTCTCATACTTATCAAAGAAGATGGATGTTGGTCGTTCGTGGGTCGTCACGGTGGTGAGCAACCCCTTTCGCTCGGCAAAGGCTGCGAAGAGGTACGACTTTGTTAAGATTATTCACTTCACACCCACCAGCGCCCCTCAAGTACCTTCAATTCATAATCGTGCTTCTTGGATCGTGAAATCGCTTCAGATCGGAATCGCTACACACGAGAATTGGCCAACGCTTGGACCTTCCACAATCACATGTCGCGCGTACGACCGAGATTGATTTCATTACATATTCTGTGTTGAAAACGTATGTGTATGCGTCCATCCCTTCACCTACCTCAAAGTGGCAACGGGAACTCTTCAGCCTTCCAGGACGAGTTTGGTGGGATTCAATTTCGTCAAGTTTTGAACCCTGGACACCACAACGGGGAACTACGGATTACTACGATTATGGCAGTGCGTAGTATAGCATGT